ATTACACTATGCAACACCATTTTTATAACAGAAATGAGATAGGGTGTTTCTAGTGGTAACAAGTGAGCTTATTACGAATATGCAAACCAAATGTTTCCATGATATCCACCTGATACTGAAAGTCGATTGAGAGCTGTTTCCTTAGTTGTTATCTTGATCTTGGCTGAAAGACGCTACTATATCAATGACCGAAATCATTTTTGTTATGTCTGTGGACAGTTTACCATAACATCGCAGTGCAGACCCATTAGTTCACTACTGAAGTCTGCCTACCACGCATATTTCAGGGTGAACCTTAGACATTAGGATAAGAAGTGGGCACTGCATTTTGTTTGCGTGTCGTGCATTCTTCATGTAAGTTGCTCAAAGGTAAGATGCCCTTTGCAATCCCCATGGTGTGGAGGGAGCCGAAGAATCACACGACAGACTGCTACTTCTGCCTAACCAGTGTCATTGGAATCTCCAACCGAAACAAGGACAAAATTCATTACACCGATCTTCCATCAGCTATTTGACTGTTCCTCATGGTTGCACCTTACCTATTCCAGTGTCTCTAGTGAACATGTCACTGATGATGAATAGTGATTCCGCATCGTCAACTTCACTTTATTCTGACATCTGAAAAAACTGGAGCTGATGTTGTCAACCCACATCTTTTTAAACAATCATAGCTATGACTTACTACGTGACCTGTGCTTGCCTAAAGACAAGACGAGTCACTGGCATCTCGGCTGCAGTTGTATCACTTGCTGCAAACACTAATATTACTATATTCAGAAAGCAAAGTGTTAAATTGTCTTGTTTCTGTGATAAGAGAAAGCTTTTGTTACTGTGTCGACGTGGAACTACTGATGAAGGAGCTTGGCTTGAGGTATATCAGTGGTGAATAGTGTTTGTTCACTGACTTATCCAAGAGGTCTTAAGGCCATACTGCTCCACAGTGGAAATGGGAACCCAACTGTGCTTCTTTTGCATGCCACCAATATGAAGGACTTACGTAACTATGTAACAGGTACTCGATGCACTGAACTCCGATAATTACTGTTGGAACATCTGTGCTGCCCTCAAAGTCATTGGACCCCTAATGGTTTCACAAAATATTGGTTTCTTGTGCTTATGGGACAGTCGAGCAACACAACAGTACTATATAACCGGAAAGTAATCAGAGCGGACTAAGTATGCCGCAGGGAAAATGAGTGTAAAGCATACACCTCTTGTGCAAGGTGATCATATCTATCTACCACCCTGCACATCAAGCTTGGTTTGATTCAAAACTTCATCAAAACCCTTCAGCGAGATGGTTTTCCCTTCTAGTACCTGAAACGACTGTTTCCTAAGATCAGTTATGCGAAGATCAAAAAAGCGATACTTATTGGTCCTGATATTCGCCGGATAATGGCCGATAGTGTTTTCGAATGCCAGCTGACTTCATTTGAGTTAGAAGCGTAAGATCATTCAAGAAAGTGTGTACAGGATTTTTGGGCAGAGCAAGCATAGAACTACAAACACATCACAAAACTCTGCGGACCATCGGGCTGTTGGGACTCAAATGTCCCTCAAGATGTACATTTTGCTTAATCAAAGACTTTCCCTGACAACTTAGCAGCCGTTATCGATGACCATAGAGCACTTTCATCAAGTATAAGCCTTCTATGATAGGTGCCTTTGCTGGTTCCTGCAGCGGGAGGGCGCTGGATCATGCAAAATACGATCTCCGCGAAGTTATAATTTCCCACTGTCGTGCATAATTAATACCAAGTGCATACGTTCCGACAAACGAGACATCCACCCACCTTCATCATCCCGGTTGGAGATTGCATGGCGCGGGTTTCTTTCTGTGTCTAGTAGTTGTGTGGTATGCATTGCTTATGCGTCCATTCCTCGTGCGCATACAACTTCGGCTCCAAAGTGTTCCTTTCCTTTTGGGGAGCCAGTACGGCCTGCTGTTAGATGGTCGCTGTTTCGCATCCTTGCACTGCGCTACTCACAACTAGCGCAGTAGTGCTTGGCTTTCGTCCACCACACTCCTCCTCTCCAAAGTGGTCGCCTTAACTGCCTTCGCATGGGTCTCTCTGACCGTCATGGATGCTCCCTGTTCGAAGGGGGTTCCTCCTTTAACGTGCCACTTCCTCAACTCACTGACATGTACTCGTCGTGAGTCTCCTTGCCGAGCGATTGTATACACTGGGTCTCGCCGGTCGACCACCTCGTACGTCCCCTTTCACTTGGGTAGAAGTTTTCTCTCTCATGGGCCACCATTGGGAGCGCGTTGATGGTCCATGTATTTCAGCTTTGAACCAATTGGGAACTCGACACTCACCTCACCAATGTTGGTCTTAGACTTCTCCATCCTCTGCGCCTGAGTTGCTTTCAGGTTACGGTTGGCTGCCTTCCTATTATCCTGTGCCTATGTGGGAGGTATTCGCCAAGTTTGCCACATTCCACAGGTAAGTAAGGTACTTGACCATACGTCGATTTGAATGGTGATTTCTTTGTGGAGACCCGTTTGGATGCTCGATGGATCAGTAACAGCAGTAGCAAACCTTCCTCCCAGTCTTCACCCTTTGCCGCTAGCCACTCTCTAATCGTGCTATTGTTACGTCCCCTCAAGCCATTTGTCTGCGGGTGGTAATGCGTTGGCCGCATTTTCCTGATACCGGAATTCCTCATTCTCGAAACCCGGACCCTGGTCTGTTAAGATGGCTTTTGGGATTCCGTGACCCACTATCAAATATTTCATGACGGCATGGGTGCTGGTGGTCGCCCGTTGAGCCCGGGATTCCCGTTGCTTCAATCCAGGGCGTGAAGTGCTTTATCATCAATAAGATGTATTGGTTGCCCATTTTGGTCAGTGGAAACAGTCTGATCACGTCGATCGACCATAGTTCCCCAATTCCCAATATCGGAATCAACAACACTGGTTGTTCTGCTTCTCGGCAGTCGGTTTTCAAAAGCTATCATTGATTGCACGAAAGAATGTATGTCTCGATGTTCTTCTTCAGGCCAAACCAACAGGCGCGTTGTCTCAGCAGATCGTAGGTCCTGGAACAACCGGTATGCGCCATCTCGTGACAAGAAATCACCAGCCTCCGCCTTAGTTTCCTCGCAATAACAGGCACCAAAGTGTTGCTACCTCCTGGTATCCACATCAGGATCCTCGCTTCATGTAATTGTAGATTTTTAAGATTTCTCGCAAACGGTCCGGGCTGCTTGTGTTGCCTCTTGTTTATGACTGATTGACCGATTATTCGTGCAGTGAGCACTTTGCGCAAGAGTTTGTCATTACGTTGCGCGGCTGCAAGCTGTAACGGATCCTGCTCCAACAGTGTATCATTAACACCGAAAGCCACCTTCGGCAGGTCATCTTTGTTTATCATGCGTAGCAAAAAAAATCCGCAGTTTGATTCTCCTTTCTCGACAGGTGGTTTATCGTGAAATCGTATTCCTTTAGGCAAAGCACCTATCGTGCTAGCTTTCCTCTGGGGTCGTTGGCAGACCTCGACACTCGACTGCCTTCTTCTTATCCTGTGCCTATTCGGGAGATATTCGGCAAGTTTGCCACAACCCATAGGTATGCGAGATGCTTTTGTGTATGTGATTCGGCAGAGCTGCCTCGAAAATGCGGTTGCTAGGTAAATAGGATTATATGGTGGGTTGCACTAGTGACTCTGAGTTGAATGAATCCAATTACAGCAGAGCGCGCAATGTTGTACATGTCTTTAACAGCATAAAGTCAGTATCTTTTGAATCGAGCAGTCTATGAAAAATCGCTTTTTCTATTTTAGCCGTTTTGACGGTGCAGTGTACACGTTTTGCCGAGTTTAGGCTGTTGGAGTAATCTAGTCGTAGATCACGGTCTTCAGTATCGCGAGTGAACGGTTTACCACAGAGAGTCAGTGGGATTGATCGAATATCACCAATATATGAATGAAAATTGTGTATTAGCCGAAATGCTCATTTTTGAAATAGAACACCACAATTCAATATCGTCTATAGTCAAGTCAAGTAAAAATAAGGTTTATCTCTTCAGATGGGTAAATTTTCAGCATTTTACAGTGACGACTGCGGATGGACTAAAATTACGTTCTCAGAACTGTAAATTTGTATTAAGGGGAAATAGCACACAGTGTGTAGGTGTTACTTGAATGAACGGTCATCATTTCCGGACAGAATAATCTAAAGCTACATACTGTTAACACGGTAGCGTTGCAAGCATGATTTCCAATCGGGACTTTCCATTTACAGGGGCGCAGTATCTTGAGTTGTTCTCAAAAAGTAAGCGAACAACAACAGTGGTGACTTTGGAAAAAGTTTGACAAATGTCAGTGTTGAAATATTCCGAGAAAACTAATGTATCCATAGCGATATTGTAAAAACAATTTTCATTGAAAACGGCACGGCCGATTTAAAGGACATGCCCCTCATTGTGTACGCTGCAAGGCTCAGCCTTTTGGTGTGCAAGATCGAACGTGTACACAGCTTCGGCAAAATGGGCGCACGAGTGTGAACGACCATAAACAAATACGATAATGATATGGTTAATGTTTACAAGGAATAGTAAAGGACCCAGAACGATGTTTTAAATAACATCATTTGTTATCGCGCTGCGACAGGAAAGATATTCGTTACAAGGAGATAACCTTAGTGGTTACTTGTTCTTCATCACCTGCATCACTTAATTTTGCGGTAAAGCGACCGGTTCACCTTTGTACGACAGCCGGTACCAAGTCGTGTTATGGCCTGCTATGTAGGCTTTGACGCAGTTGAGGTAAACTACGCTATCCACAGAAGTCGGGGAGACTGTCCTACTTTTATTTCGCATCCCTGACACTCCATTTCTTAGAATGAAATTCCCCTTTACTTAGCTCGTTAAGTATCTTCATGTTACAGCGTCTTCGTTGCTTTTTGGTAACAAATTGCGCTCGTCGTCTCACTTTGTCTTTGATGGTGGCATTATCGAATCACCAGACTTATCGTCTGTTTGCTTCTTTCCGACTCAGATTTGTACCAACCCGGAAGTCAAGGTGTACATCAACGATTGCGTTGAATCAGTGCGCTCTCGGCTTCGTTTTTTACGGGAACTACGCATACTCGTCTGTACACTAGAGAAGGAGCCTTTGGAAAGTTTGGTCCTTAGATTTGACCGTATTAGCGAGGAATTTGTTAAGTAAGTCAAACTAGAAATGTTTTTTGGGCACTTACTTTGCGGTCATGTTTTTTGTTGTTCTCATTTCCATTTTCCTCGGTGCTTTTCTGGTGTGCTCGTCTCACCTTCTCCAGTAATTTCTCCCATAACACAAGGAGTGTTACACCAGTAGTTAGAGCAATTAGCTGATCTTTCCTAACCTGAGGTGGCATGAAGAGTTTGCCAACCAGTTCAACAGGATAGTATCAACCACATCAGAAATCAAAAACCACCGCTGGAAAACGATAAAGCCCTTTCTAGGCGACACCACTCATAGATGCATTCCCTTGTGAGACAGGTTGGCGCAACCTCAACGAGCGAGGACAACTGGGTTGTTTAAAGAACAAAATTGAACGACTACGTCACATTCGTCCGGATGATAGAGTACAGTGCCAACATGACCGTGATAAGATTTTGCTTTATCCTAGCGCTACTTTACAGACACCCGAACTAGGTTCGCAGAATCAGGCGCGGAATTCCTGCTCTACGCAAAGCATGTAGGCTATTGCAAACAACAACAGGTGGCCAACACTCTTGAGTAACGATTCAGCCATACCTTCAAACAAAATTAAAGGTATCAGCAGTAAGCCAGCACACCGTACCGGAGCTTCGCTGCGGCGCGACCATCGCCAGTCGCACTTGTGATGGGTATACCTAAAGGTCGCCCGCACCTACACGGTTTCGAACTAGTGACCTCCGGATTACAAGGCATCTGCGTGGTGTTGTTCGATCACCGGCCGAACATGCCTTAAAAAATATGCCCTCATCCAACATCCTTCTTACTTAGCTCATAGAGCCATTAGAGCCTAGGCGCGGACCCTTTACCGCCATGGCGGTGCTGAGGCGTCTGATTTCCTTGCCCGAGCACATCTCCCCCGGTGCAGACGGTATCACCTAAAGGCGTTGAAGGCAGTTAGCATGACGTTAACTGAAACGTTTGCCACAGTCTTTCAACGATGTCTTAATGAGATACAGGTCCTTCATCATCATCATTACACATTAGCTGAAGGTGAGAAATACCTCAGCTATGGTGCCGCAATACCAAAAGGTAAGAAAGTAAAAACGCGACACACGTAGTACTATAGAATACAGTATAAAAATAAGAATATAGCGCTTAGTATCATATTACGCATCAAGCGTGAGATTGTGGATGGAGTGGGAAGATAAAGGAGAGGGGGAGACAAATAAACACAACTCAAATGTCATTTATGCGAGATCTTTTCTATATCAACAACTGTATTCCATCGTCCTTCGGACCCCAGCCCGGCAGTCGGGAGACACCAACCGACGCCAATTTTGTAGTGAGGGTTTTCACTGCTCTTGACCAAATCATCGCTTAACATCCCTCCTCTTCCATCCACGCCCCGGTGGCGCAAACGACGCACGATGCTGAAGTCAGTGTGCTAGCATACGCAGCACCTGGCACAACCATCGGTGATTTTCCGGTGCTGATCGCTTCACTTGCTCTTCCTGGACCAAATACACGACGCAGAACCCACTCGTTGGTTACGCGGTGTTCCCACCAGACATAAGCTAAGCTGTGAAGGCGGCGATGATTATTTGTGACTAACTTCCTTACATGGGTTAGGTTTCGTAATCGTACGGGAGGTTTGAATGGACGACTGCACTGTAAACTCCGCTCTTCTGGGCGAGAATGATGTCGCCCCGCAGCCACAGGTGACGAAGACTGGCAAAAACATTTCGAGCTTTTGTTAGACGGTTTGTGATCATATGTATTCCATTGGCGCTGATCTAGCCGCCTAGCTACTTGAATTTCTGAACGACTTCTAGCTGATCACCATCAACGGTCAGCGCAGGCGTGAGTTCCCGCCAATGTTGGGGAAGGACTTTGCATTTCGACCGTGTAAAGCATAATTCGAAACGACTGGCAGGCAATATTAATATTTCCAGTACTGCTTGGCATATTTGGGCAATGTCGTAGGCCCACTCCAAGTCAAGAAGTCGATCACCAGAATGTAGACACACCTTGTAGGTCGTGTCTATGCTTTTATCAATGGCGAAGAGGAAAGGTGACAGAAGGAAATTGGGTCTCACACCGGTGGAGATATTGAAGGGCGACGGCAGTTTGCCATAAGCTCTCACTATGCCCGGACTATGCGCGTATTCTGCTCTGGTACTGTTTACGTATTTATCCCGGGGGCACTTTCCCTGAGTAGACACTCCCAAAGGGCACATTGATCCACCGAATCGAGGGCACCTTTAATGTCGATAAACACAACTACTGTGGGTCGCCAATAAATATGACGGTGCTCCAACAGTTTGCGTAATGTGAACATGTGATCAATACAACCCCGACTTCGACGAAACTCTACTTGCTCCTCTCGGATCTGGCTTCCACGGGTGCCAAAAGTCTATGAAGAATGTCGGAGGCAAGTAACTTAGAGACAGTTGGGATCAGACTGATCCCTCTATGATTGCCACATTCAGAACGTGAGCCTCTGTTGTAAATTGGGACTATACCGGAGTGGCTCCAGATTGTTGGGACAGTTTTCTTCTCCCATAGGTTTTCTGGTAACTTGTGCAAATCATCCACAAGAGCAGGGCCCCCGAACTTAAAGAGGTCTGGAGAGGGTATCTGCTCCTACAGCCTTATTCAACTTCAATGGTCTGATCTCAGGTTCCCACCTTGTGGAAGCACGAGATAGCCACTTCTTTCTACAAGAGTGACAGCCATGTGGAACAAGTGGTTATCGGCCGATAACACCACTCCTGGTGTTCTCCAAGATCATGGAGTCCATTGTTGCTGTGGCACTCATGGAGTAAGTCTTTTCTAAGTATTTTAGTCAAAATAAGCTTTATATACCCGTTTGGGAGCATTTACAGCAATTTACACTAACACTGCAAACATACTACAACATAAAATCGGTGGGAAAATGATGTGCATTGACACGAACAACAAAAACAGTACATTTTTAAGCAATCAAACGTTCTCGCAACTGTTGCATCATTCCTCTTGGGTCGACTAACAAGCGAGACAGGTAGGGCAAAATGGAGTTGCAACACGAAGTGGTACGGGAGAACAAAACTCTAAATCTCGACCGCGTTGAAGAAGTGGATTCTGAACTAGCTAAAACGGCGTGTAGGGGGTGCGAGTAGTCGTTTAGAATCTTGCATGAGAAGTTAAAGTATGCGTTAAAATGCCCTCTAACCACAAATCAACGAGAGATTCTCTGCTTAATACAGAGCATCGTTGAATAAACTTTAGTGATCGCACAAGAGAAGTGTAGTCCTTTTAAAGAAGTCCGGGGAAAATAACAGAGGAACCATACAGCCAATGGAGAAAAATACATGCATTTGCAAACCTTAGAATTAGAGCCCGCGGTACAGAGAGCATTTTGAGCCCAAGAGCGTAAAAGAATAGTCTTCTGACTTTTAGAAAAGTTTCAAGAATATGCGTCTACCAGGATGAATTAAAGGACAAGAAAACACCGAGATACTTTACGGAATATCAACGGGGGATGCTTTGGTCGCTCACAAGCAAAGGAGAGGAGGCGTTTGAAAATGGCGCGCAATCTGTCGGGTTGGAGAAAACAGAATAATTATCACAATACTTAGAAAGGATTAAAGGAGAGGGAACGTGATCTTGACCAAGTTAACAATTCGTCTAATCCTCGCTGGAGTTTCGAAGATTCCTCAATTATTGGAGTTTTATACCCTAAGACGTCGTCAGCGTATTTACACCCGATGAAATTGGTTGGTATAGGCAGAGACTCAACAAAGAGGGAAAACAGAAAGGGGATAGAATAGATCATTGTAACACCCCAGAATTTGCTGAGATTGAGAAAAATATTCTGCCACGTAACTGCGTGAAGTGTGTGCGATTCGTAAAGTAGTCACGTAATACATTACGTTCGTTGGGGGAACGCCGTTTTCGTACAAAAAGTTGAGTAGTAGCGATCTGTCAAGACTCCCAAAGGCCATTAATATACTCAAGGAACAGGAGCTGCACAATACTGCACTTTTTATCCAAAGCAGATGCAGTGGAATGCAGAAGATACGAAACGGCATCCAGACTAGTGCCCTGACTTAAATGCAAACTGTTTAATATCAGTCTTATGATTACTTGTAAAGATTCGGGGAACTAGTAGTTTTTGAAGACCTTCAGCATCACGGAGGTATATCCTATTGGGTGATACTTCTGTGATTTTCTTAAGCTCAGGTGTTATTCTGGCTCCTTCCAGATGTCGGGAATTGTGCCAGTCGTTAAACAACGGACAGTATCGAAATTCTCGCTCCTGAGCAGCACGGATTTCGCCGAAATCTGTCATGCACCGCTAACATACTGATAGCTCCTGCTAGCTGGACAGTGGTGCAAATTAGATGGATTCCTCAAAGGTAGTTGATTGTTTGGATTATCGCGCCCTACTTTCCTTCAGAATTATGGGATCAGTTATCCTGTTCTGGGTTTGATAGGCAACTTTATCGTTCAACATCATCTGAAGTTGAGAGTTTGTAGTACCCTATCCGACCGTATCGATGTTTAGTGTGGCAAACCCAAGGCTTGAAACTCGCCTGATCCTCGTCTTCATAAACGACCTCGCGAGATGCTCTTTTCAGATTATTTTATTGTTCGCCGATGGTCGAAAGATATGGCGTATTATCTTTGTAATGGATGCTCCCATTGTGTTGCAAAGTGGTCTGGATAAAGGCTACACGTAGTCTACCGGGAAAATGCTCCAGTTCAGCGCCACCAAGTGCAAAGCTTTGAGCATACGCCATCAAAACGCTCACGACTACCGGCTAGAGCCACGAATTCTGTAGGGCACTTCTCGTGAGAGCTATCTCTGCGTGATCGTGTAAGAGGACCTTGGCTGTTTGTGGCAGTTTAAAAGAGCAACGAAGGCAAATCAACACTTCGGCCTCATTCGCAGCGCGTTCGGAAAGTCCGATGCCTCCATGTTTTTCGCAAATGCTTGATGCTTACGTGAGGCCACACGGGGAATACGTTATCCAGCTGTAGA